TTTGGGAGGCCAAGGAGGGCATATCACCTGAGGTCAGGAGTTCAAGACCAGCGTGGCCAACATGGTGAAACTCTGTCTCCACTAAAAATACAAAATTAGCCAGGCATGGTGGTGCATGCCTGTCATCTCAGCTACTCAGGAGGCTAAGGCAGGAGAATTGCTTGAACTGGGAGGCGGAGGTTCCAGTGAGCTGAGGCCACATCCTTGCACTCCTGCCTGGGCAACAAGAATGAAAAACTCTGTCTCAAAAATAAAAATTACATTAAAAAAAAGAATAAATGAAAAGAACCAAGAGGAGTCCAGGCGAAGAGAACAGCAGATGCAAAGGCCCTGAGGCAGAAAGCATCTTGGTGTGCTTGAAGAACAGGAAGGCAGCCAGTGCAGCTGGGGCATGATGGATTAAGGGAAGGTCAAGGTGATGGGGTCTGGAAAGAGGGGCTAGGGTTCAATCACCAGACTCTGTTGGTTGCCATGGAAGAGCCATGAGAAGAGCCATTGCTCTCATTCTCAGAGCAATGAGAAGCCACTGGAAAGTTGTTTTTTGTTTTTCTGTTTTTGAGACGGAGTCTAGCTCTGTCGCTCAGGCTGGAGTGCAGTGGTGCGATCTCAGCTCACTGCAACCTCTGCCTCCCGAGTTCAAGCAATTCTCCTGCCTCAGGCTCCCAAGTAGCTGGAATTACAGGCACGTGCCGCCACACTCACCTAATTTTTGTATTTTGTTGGCCAGGCTGGTCTCAAACTCCTGACCTCAGGTGATCCTCCTGCCTCAAAAAAAAAAAAAAAAAAAAGGCTGCTATTAAACAAGGAAACAACCAAACCAGATGACTTCAGATGGTAGTAAGAGCTTTCAAAGAATAAGCAGGGTCAGAAGAAGAGAGATGGGGGCATTCCCTCACACAAGACAGCCCCAGAGCTCTGCCTCTGACATGACATTTGAGCAGAAACCCAACAGAAGGAAGAAGTTGTCCTATTAAGAACCAAAAGGAGGACTGGCGTGGTGACTCACACTGTAAACCCAACACTTTGGTAAACCAAGGCACACAGATCAACTGAGGTCGGGAGTTCAAGACCCACCTGATCAACATGGAGAAACCCTGTCTCTACTAAAAATACAAAATTAAAGGCCGGGCGCGGTGGCTCAAACCTGTAATCCCAGCACTTTGGGAGGCCGAGGCGGGTGGATCACGAGGCCAAGAGATCGAGACCATCCTGGTCAACACGGTGAAACCCCGTCTCTACTAAAA